GTATAAACTATGCTATAAACAAAAAATTGTAGGATTACTTACCGAGTGTGCACCGTTCGATTACGCCGTTGCTTACGCTTGTTTTCCTCGTGGAGCAGCGCACCAAACGGCGGCCGCGTTTTCTGATAAGTTATTTTTCTGCGAAAACTTCGTTGAACTGTGGAGACATCATTAATAGAAATAATTTTTATGGCCGTTGAATAAGAAATGTTTCTTTCACAAGAAATGTATAAAATTAGTGCTGTATTAGACTTACGGTACCTAATTTACATACTGTACAGACGATAGTAAACTCAACACTCGCCTAAACTCTCCGTAGCGTGGCACTGGACGGCAAAAAGTAGTTCGGCTGCCCGATGACGTTTTAACGAATTATAGGAGTTTTTTTTTACCAGGCTTGTACGGATACCGTCGCAATTTTTCGCCCTCTTATAGGAATCGTAATTATAGGAACCCGTGTTATAGGGGGGTCTACTGTATTGTGTTTGCAATGACGACTTTTTCACTATCTGGCATTTTAGGCATCTCATCCCAAGTACCCGGGCGAGATAAATAAAATTGCATAAAATTAATTTTTGAATTTCTTAACCAAATTTAATTTATTGCATATGTAGTACAAAGTACTTCATAGTAAGTATAACAGCACAGTATAAGTGTTGTTAAGTTTCCGCCCATTCTAACGTCTTCTATAGCTAGCTGAAAGCTTTTTTTTAGTCCAAAAACCTTTTTGAAAAGTCCTTATATAATTTTTATGCATATCCTGCAATAAAACGAGAAAACAGAAATTTATTTAAAATAGGCATATTGGAATTCAATTAACAAAGAATAGGCATGTTACCCCAAGAAAAATGTGGCATCTTTTCCATTTGTTGGTGTAAGATGCCTAGTGGAGTCACGTGCTCTAGCATGTCCGATCGGGATCGGCGGTAGCTGACAATGGAAACTTTAGAACCTTAACTACATCACACATTAATTGTTTTTCGCAATGTTTAATAAATTCTATTTTAAGTTTCAGTTTAAAATTACTCTAGAAACATTTCACAACAAAAACTTCGTTCTTATCTAGCTTTTATTCTTCTCAGACGTAGAAAATGAAGTAAACAGAAGTTTATTGCTATTCCAATTGGGATTTAATAGAGCTTTTAGGACAGTCAGAATCACTATAAATGTGATAGACAGAGTTTTGTTTGATAGTGAAGTGGCGCACTGAACAGCTTGGTAGTCAGCATCTTCTTCAGCTTGATAGATGGAGGTATATGTGAGGTATCTGCACCTTCTAACATATTTTTGGAAAAATATGTAAGTTTGAAGGAAGATAGAGATATTTGAGCCGACAAGAATGGACTTTTGGACCCATCTGTGTAGATATTGATGCCTGCAAGATTATCCATGGAGGAAGCAAATGACACCAAATATCCTTGTTTACATGTTGACGATCACAGATAGTAGGGTAATTGCAATGTGGTAGCATATGAACAGCCGTAGATAGGAGTAGAGACCGTTATTGAGCCTTGACGTTTGTAGTTCTGATGTAGTAGTTAAGAACCTTTTCTACAATACATAGTGGCAAAGGAAGGAGCTCTACTATTATTAGAGAGGCATTAGTAAAAATAGTTTGGCAGTACTTTGAAATTCTGATGGCAAACTGGCTTTGAAGAGAGAGTAATTTACTTGCTACTGAATTTTTACTAGTTACGTGATCACAGCCAGGGGCCGCGTAAAGTATCATTAGTTGTATTGCTCCATTATATAGAGTTTTATAAGCTTTATTATTTAGTCCCCAGGAGCACCTAGCACATTTTAGCAGCATGTAGTTTATTTTTTTTTTTTTGGTCTTAGACAAGATGTAATCAATATGGTAACGGAATGTGGTTTCTCTCTATTCTCTCTTGTTTTATTTTGTATGATGTTTCTGTTTACACGTATACTAGCTAGTCGATCTGGCAAAGTTTTTTGCTTCTTTTGTGAAAATTAAAATTAATATAAAAATAAATATTTTGACGTTGATTAATGATAATAATAATAGTAGTAATATTGTTAATAATTAAAAAATAAATTTCTTAAAATAAATTTTTTATTCGAATTTATTAAATTTTTATATTTTTAAATTTGATCACCTAAAGTCTTTTATAAATAATAGTACATATTAATTAACTAATTAATAATTATATATTTTGAATCTAAGGATTTTAGGGTTTATAAAAAAATTTTTTGGTTAAAATCTTTCTATAAAATCATGCAAAAATATTACGTAACATAGGGGAGGGGGATCAAAGAAAATATTACGGTTTCTTACACGTGTGGTCGGGGGTCTAGAATGGCTGAAATCGCCCTTACGCAATTTATGGACGGCCCCTTAAAGACTACAGCAAAATTATCCTTAAGAACATGTTGTCGAATGCTTCGACTATTTCTTCATTTTGTGTTTTAACTAAAACTGCAAAAATTATATTTTGTATCAAAATCAACGGCTTTCTTTCACAATAAAAATATGCGAAAAATGTTATGTATGAGAAAATTACTGTGTAAAAAATTCACGTAGTTTTTTAGTTATAATTTTAAATTATAAAATTTTAAAAAATTCATAAATGTCGACAGGAATATAAATTATTGCTTTTTAGTAAATAATTTAAAATGCTTTTGATAAATTTACAATAAAAATTAACTTTCTTAATATTTTAAATGATTTTGTAACACATTTTTCTATTTCGAGTTACTCGTGTTCGACACTTAAATTTACATAATGTTAAAGGAAAAGGGTTGTTAATGCAGTCTTTTTCATAGTAATTCATCGATAAGAGATTACAATTTAATTAAAGAATATTTTACATTTTAAGCGATAAATTTGTGTATAAATTTATAATAGAATAATCAACATTAAATTGTTTGTGTTTAAGTTTTCGATATATAAAATTGAACATTACTCATTTTTAGATCTAGGTCAGCTATAATTGAACTTTACCCATTTTTAGATCTAGGTCAGCGTTGATTCTAATTATTTATTTTGATAAATATAATGTAAATATAATTGCGTATAATCCGATAAATATATGATCTTAATGTTCACAAAGTAATCAAAATATTTATTCTGTAAAAATTTTGTCGTTTTTGAACACCATATAGTTCATACACACAACACAAGGCAATCTTCATTGTAAATTTATTCAATTTTTAGTTGATACATGTACCTGTATTTTTTTTGTACATGTTTCGTTCTTGTGTAGGTCCCTTCTCAGCCAACTAAAATTATATAATATATACGAATTACAGCATACATAAAAAGATTTCACACATAAAAATCTCTTTACATATATAAGTGAAACATCAACATAAAATTTTTACACAAAAACTTTCTTAATCATTACAGAACGTACCTTATAAAAATTCCAAAAATGTTCGAAGACCCTCTATATTTTCTCTTAACTGATGATCGATTTTAATTTTTCTAGTTATTCAATGAAGCAATTATTAGTTATCTTGTTTACTTAAAAATTCTTTAAAGATATACAAAACGTACCTTCGCTTTTTTATGTCACTCATTCAAAAGGTACTTTTACTATTCAGGTAACTTATATTGTGTTCCGAAGTATCTCTTGGTAAATAAACTATTCACAAGCATATATTCTTTACATAATTCCTTTCTATTATTCCGACATTATAGAAGTACTGACGAATTTCTCAAATGCTCTTTTCTTCCATATGGTCTCGTTTATAACCTCACTTATTTCCGTATTTTTACAGTGGATACGCCACCTCGTGACTAAATTAGTTGAGTTATTATTAGAAATTCTTTTTGTTAATAAATTTAATTTACAATATATTAAGGTGATTTTTTATTTATTTTAATCTATAATAATTTAAGCCAATTTTCATTTATTTTTACACTTAGGTTCTTATTTATGCATTTTTTGTTTTTGAGAATTTCCACACTTTCTTTGAATTTGCGATTATATGGTATTCTTTCTCTATGAAGAATTTGTACGCCATTTCTATCAATGTTGCAATCATTTAACGTACAGTGGTCGTGAAATTCTATAAAAATCAAACTAAAGACATTTTTCTCATATATTTGAAAGTTTCTAAACGAATTTATTAAATAACATATTTACTGAGCACTTTATTAATAGTAAAAGTAAATAATGGTATATCGATAATTAGAGAAAAACATAAGAGCAGTTTTATCTATGTTTATTCTAAGACTTAACAGTAAATATTAAACAAAATATTACTTCATCATGTATTCTAGAAGTTGTTTTGTCTAGTTGGAAAGTACAAATTATACAAAGAATTACATACATTTACTAAGCAATGCGTACGAAAACACTGGAAACAATTTAAGACAATCCAACCTTTACAATGATAATACAAGATCTATCAAAAATGGAAACCGCTCAAAATGGAACGGAAATTTCAATGTGCCGTAGTTCCGGTTTCCACAGTTATAATAGAATTTTAATACACAATACAACCTGTGTATTAGAAATTTATTATAACAGTTTTATATTTAATATACATGTCATAATACATGCCTCTGTTCTCTAAATATTTCTTTACTATTCGTTAAACTGACAATTATTAACTTTCATTTATATCTGTTAATTCTATGAACTAATATTTATCTGACCACTAATAATTATAATGACGTAATTATTAATATGACGTAACAAACGTTCACTGGGAAGTAATCGTTACTATTGAAACAGTGAAGCCAAACCTTATCAATGCTAACCTATTAAGTTAATCAATTATATTAACAGTTTATGAGTGTTAAATTAATCGAAGTTAATAAATTATTAAATAATGTAATTGAATTTTTCGTTTCAGACATATCCAAGATTATAATTCAAGCAAATATGTTCTTCTTTATATACGGCAGAGTAACAGAGGAATTATGGAAATATTCTTGGTTTCTGGATATGTTTCAATGCATCAGTACAACGATTATAAATAAACCATATCTACTGATTTTATTTTTCGTTATTATTCTGGTCATGTATTTTTCGTTAACAACTTATAATAGAGTTGTTGTAAGTAAAACATAGGCAGTAGTTTAAATTTTAATATTATTTACATTTCAACAGTAATGTTTGTCGATGCAGGACATGACGGATATCGGTTATGATGATGGAAGAACGAATGCGAAGAAATTACGTAGAAAACGAATGCAGTTATTAAAAGAAACAAATAGGTTAAGAAGAGCCAATGAATTTCCTCCCGTTTATCCAAATGGATGGATACCGTTGTTAGAATCCAGAGACTTACCTGTTGGGAAGTGCAAGCCTGTTACTGCTCTAGGTAAGATATTCAAACATTAGCTTAGGCGATTAAAAGTGTTAGTTGTTAGTTTAAAAGATTTTTTGTGATATAATGTTAAACGTCTGAAAAATTTAACACGTTTTACTTTTCTCAACACGTAAACAACGATTTTAGTATCACTATTCCAATACAGCAATTTAAGCGTTTGCTCATCTAAGGCTACTTCCTACGTGGCAGCGTCCAGCGCCCTTGGGCAGAGAGAATCTTTGTACGCGCTTCCAACTCGCTAGCGACTTCTGTCCAGAGTGGACGCATGTTGTTTACAGGATGGCAGCGAAAAGACTTCGTCGAATGCTACTATGGAAAATATGACAAGCATTAAAACGATAAATTTGACAGTTAATTGTTATCACTTACTAGATACACAACAAATATAAAAAATCTTTATAGAATAACTAGCAGACCAGGCCACGTGTTGCTGTGGCTTAAAATGTATGTATTATAAATGTATAACACTTTCCACGCGGGGGGGATTTCGAAAAATCTCTTGACGTACGCTATTAAAACGCAATCAAAAACACATAAAATTGCATCTGAAATAGTATAATAGAAACCGAGTTCTTCGCGGTAAGCCTTAATCGTGTTATCTCCACCCGCGTGGGGAAAGCGAATTTCGATATCTATACAATATAAAAACATGCGCGTATTCGAATGCAACATTGTGTCAAAATTCGAAAGCAATTGGTGAAGAACTTTCGGAGATTTAAGCTTTTGAACAAATGAACATTACATTTTTATTTATATAGATAAGTTAAAAAAAAAGTTTAATTTTTAAAACGTTGCATTTATACAAAATCAGAAATTATTAAGTAAAAGATTATTAATTAAAGTACATACAACATATATACAAAATTTATTTATCATTCTATTTTTATTTATCTACAAAATTAGCCATTATTTCTTCTTTGGATGCGCGAGCAGTGGAAGCAGCGATCAAACTTGCTTGGTAGCTGCTTCCTGCACGCGCGTCATCTGGTGGTTGCTGCACGCTAAACGCAGTTACTCTGGACGAGCACATTTGCTTAAATCAGTTTGTCCGCTCCGCTTGCAAGTGCATTCACGCCCGCGGTCGCTGGATGCTGCCAAGTAGGACGTACAGGTAACCCCCGTATAACACGGCACTTTTATAGCACGATTCACTCTAACACGGTTCGAGAATTGGGTAAAACCCTCGTACAACAGGAAATGTAATAAATTTTTACATACTTAAGTAATAATAGTTCACGAAAATTATTATTTTCCTGAAGTATTAGTACTTAAGTATGTAAATTTTCTCTTCTTGCCTTCTGTCGATACACGTGGTTTTTCAAAAAGCTTGTTTCAATGTTGCCGAATGTTTTTCCCTTATTTCATACTTGCTTTATTCTTCATAAGTGCTTAGCACCATATAAGGAAATTTATAAAGATCTTTTAACTAGAAGCAAGCAATCTAAAATTACATACATTTTGCAAAAGTTAAAGCATGGATCTGAAGATTATGCAGTAAAATGCTCAGAGGATAAGGATAACTTGCCAAAAAGAAAACGCTCTCGGTTAATTAATAGTGTTTTTAGTGATGACGAAGAAAACATTGTTTAATTTATATTAATATGTATCACTTAAAAAAATTTTAATGAAGATATTTATCTTAATTATGAAAATATACTAGCATGTTTTTTAATTTTTGGAACCTAACCCTCCTTTTCGTATTAGTTCTTTGTTTCGTATAACACGGATTC